TTACCCTTTCAACTGGTACAAAAACTGATACCTTTATACAAGGCACCATGTTTGCAATAACCACAACACAAGCAGTCAAAATGCAAACAAAAATAAACAACTCTGATAATGATAATGATATGCACTGTCCTTGAAGTTGATTGGTCCACACCCGAGACAGCTTTTCTTAGAGCCTAGTCTCCATTGGTGTTGGACCATATGCATTTTGACTGCTTGTGTTGTGGTTATTGCAAACATGATGCCTTGTATAAAGGTGTCAGTTTCTGTACCAGTTGAAAGGGTTAAAACCTACTACTATATTTTGCCACTGGTAAAGGAGATGTCTCATAGTGTAAATGCGGCGGTTGTAGTAGATGCAATCCATAAAAAGGGGCACACTAAGCGAAATCGCGCGACACAGCCACCTGCCGAGTCGTGCACGCAGCACACACACGCACGCACAGCGTTGTATCTCTGCATCTCTATGCGTATGTGTAATAAAACTCGTTGAGACGACTTCTGGAATCCGTCTTTTATTCAACTTATGTTACAGTTACTTCACGCTTCTGATAGGCAGCATGAAAGGGACAGATAGACAGAGAGAGACGCACACCTGCCACGTGGCAACTCGGAGCCCCGCTCCCGCGTGGCCCCCTTCCTCTGTTCGTTCCCGTTCTGACCCCGTGTCGTTCGTCTCCACCCCTATTTAATACCCGGGTCACGTGGTACGTTTCCTGCCAATCCTCGTTAGCCTGCATCGAATCTTCCAGGCTCCCTCGTCAGCTCCCGGGACCACGCCCCTGACTCATCTCCCCATTGGCTGAGGCCAAAGCCAGCAGAACCAATCCTTATAGCTGTCAGGACCGGCAGAGCCAATCACCATGACGAGTTGTGATACGTCAGTGAGCCAGGATATATCCTCATATTACACATGTATTTGCGTATATCTCCATAGTATCTCGATATGCATATGTGTGTATCTCTGTGCGAGACAGCCGCTTGCCGAGGAGTGCACACAACACGCACACACACACGTCTGAACGCATAGCCGCATATGAGTGAATTCAAATCGCATTTTTGTATTTTATTTTTGGTGAAAATAGGTTCCGAATTGAGCTAGGAAAGGCTGCGTTACTAAAAATATTTTCACAAAATATTTAATTACTTTTCAACAACAACAAGAATGCCAGCGAATGATCTGAATTAATAATGCGATGGGCGTGCTTGAGATTAATTCAAATGTACTCTTTGAACCAATATACACGCGCGGATGGTACATTATAAAATGGTTATTTTAATCGCATGCTCCTACGGCTCGTGCATGCACTGGTAAAACAGCGACGGTGAGCAGATTGGTGAAATGAAATGCATTGTGGCTTCAATGCTTTGCAGTCAAGTATATAGATATAACAAAAAATCTCTCCTTTTTCGTTCACTATTCATATGTGTTCCTCATTTGCACGTGTCAAGTTGCTGTCATTAAGAATGACGACAACGTTGCGATGCTGATTTAACACTAAGAAAAAAGTGGGTCTCTAAAAATAGCCACATAACACCATTGTACGTATCTGAATGTTCTTTCAGACGCGTACAATGGGTACGATTATTATTTTTGGACTACATTTAAATGACATAATCCTAGCTTTGAAAGAAAAACGTAAGTGGTCTTGAGAAGGACAAATATCACGAGAAGAGACGATGGCCAATGGTGAAAATTTTAAGTGGCAGCCAAGGAATGAAACGCTTCCAAGTGGTCTTCCCTTGTACAGTGAGGGAAAAAAAGTATTTGATCCCCTGCTGATTTTGTACGTTTGCCCACTGACAGGTAACAAGCTGAGATTAGGAGCACTCCCTTTAAGAGTGTGCTCCTAATCTCAGAAAGATTTCTGGGAGCCAGAAATCTTTCTGATTGAGAGGGGGTCAAATACTTATTTCCCTCATTAAAATGCAAATCAATTTATAAAATAATTAACGTGCGTTTTCTGGATTTTGTTGTTGTTATTCTGTCTCTCACTGTTCAAATAAACCTACCATTAAAATTATAGACTGATCATTTCTTTGTCAGTGGGCAAACGTACAAAAATCAGCAGGGGATCAAATACTTTTTTCCCTCACTGTACATTCAGTAGTCTCCCTCCTTCACCGCCTTTCGTTCCTCTCTCAAAGCCTCACCTCTTGTACATTTCAACGTACATTACCCATTCCCTTCCTCTTCCTCCCCTCACCCCCTTCACTCCTTCCCGTCCCTCCCCTGACTTTCTGGGACCCTCGGAGTACCATCTACCGATCATTTATCACCGCTCGCACTGCCCCTGCGCCTCGTCTCACCTGACGTAGATTTATACAGCGCCTTGGACGCTTAACAAAAAAAAATGTTAATTGTGCATCAGACGATAGCGGTTTAATAAAAGAATGGGGTTATTACAAGTGGTGGTGTAGCCATGGTGACAGTAAGGAGGACAGGTGGCAGCGGTTAAGGATGAGTTGGGCTAGCAGGCGTCGTGACAGGGGTTGGGAGTCTTGAGCTAAGGTGCTCTATAAATGTAAAGTCAGGTAAGCACGTCCACCAAACCGATTCAATCACGCCATGTCACGGGGCAGATTGCAGTTTGCACGTTCGCGAGGGATGGCAACGGCTTGGGGAGGCCTTCATCCAGCAGTGGATTGAACATGGCTTACACTGGGAAGAACCTCCTGGTTACACCAGTCCACAGGGGATTGTTGTGTCCGTCGTGCAGGGAGGGGCTGGGTGGGGAGGGTGGGGCTGGGTGGGGATGGTGGGGCTGGGTGGGGAGGGGAGGGTGAGGAGGGGCTGGGTGGGGAGGGTGGGGAGGGGCTGGGTGGGAAGGGTGGGGAGGGGCTGGGTGGGGAGGGTGGGGCTGGGTGGGGGGTGGGAGGGGTGGGGCTGGGTGGGGAGGGGCTGGGTGGGGAGAGGCTGGGTGAGGGGGGGGTGGGGAGGGGCTGGGTGGGGAGGGTGGGGCTGGGTGGGGGGTGGGAGGGGTGGTTCTGGGTGGGGAGGGGCTGGTCACCCCGTGGTGCCCTTATAAAACTCAACGTTTAACCTACTCACGCCGGCTTGTGCCCGCCCTCACAGTCGGGCATATTTGTGGAATACACCACGCCGCCGTTGACCCTGGCCATTGACCGAGCAACCCAACGTTCCTACCAGCTCCCTCCGCAGGAATGTGTTCATGGTTGATAACACATGTGAATTTATATATATATACGAGTCACTTATGCAGAAATATAGCCCTGGCATAAAAAAAATAAACTCGACAGAAATTGTTGGTAATCTCAAAATATTGTTACGATAAGATCCATGATGTTAAATCTCGTTCGGCATTGATATTTTTATATTTTAAATCATCAGAACCGTACAAAATGTAGAGATCTATTTTAATCCTATGACCACTGCAAAATGCGGGCAAAGCGATAACAGATCCAGGGAGAATTGAAATGTCTCTGACCTGGCCTCTGGTTTACAAGCGCCGTGCTATAAGTCAAATGGAATGCCCCTCTGCTGGTCTGTAAGTCAAAATGACGCGTGCCACCTGCATGATCTCTCCAGCCACAGCCGGGGTGAGCGGCAAATGACATGCGAGAAAGAACGTCATACCATTCCCATGATGACGGGTGGCCCATGAGGATTTACATTGTTGTGCTTAAATTCGCGTCAATGTTTTGTTTTAGATTTGAAGCTTTCGTGACTGCAAGGATTGATACTCTTAGGTTTTTTTCGGTAAAGTCACGTAGGTAAAAATAAATAATAAATAATGGAAATATTAATAGAAATAAAATAATAAATCACGACATTTCGGAGGCAACACAAGTCTCCGTCATCAAGTGGGACCATCACAGCAAAATTTACAGATTTATTATTTTATTAATATTATTTCTATTATTTTATTATTTATTTTTACCTACGTGACTTTACCGAAAAAAACCTAAGAGTATGTTTTGTTTGTTTGCTCCAGTAAAATGTTGCGCTTCATCTACGTATATTTTTTTCTCTCTGTAACAAAAACATCGCATTGTAGATTCAAGTAGCCAACGGATGTACATGGAAATGCTCCAGAGTGTTCATCCACCACACAGATGGATGATTTGAAATCAGTTCTTGTGCCAGGTGTTGGGTGGGTTACAATCGAAGGATCGTGAGCGGTGGCACCAGCAGCTTGGGGACGTCCTCATCTAGCAGTGTTTGTGTCCATGGCCAATTAACATGTATGATTAAACGAGGACGCATCGCAAAAACACACAAAACATATTTTGTGAGCGTGAACTCGGCCTGTGTGTGGCAGCGGCATGGCAGTGCGGCGGCGCGTTTGCCGCTTATTGCAACAATTTCCAGTTCAGGCCCTATGGCCACCCTGGATAATACTGCGGGTGTGTTCATCTGAAATATATGCGCGCAGGTTTGAGCCACAGGAGATGTTAACAACAGTGCTGTTTATTGCTGAGCCGCTTGCCATCTTCGACCTTTGGGTCCGTGCTCGGCAACTTTGTTCGAAAGCAAAAGGTCACATGTTGCTGTCAAATGTTACCAAATTTGCCCGAAAATTGCTTGCAAAATTATTTAATTGGGACAACCTCGTAGCAACATCACCCCCCTAAAGGAAGAGTTTTGAGACTCATGGTTGGAAGCTGGCACAAGACCGTCTACTAGACAGGAGCTCTAAAGAGTCCCCTTTGTAGGGTATTTGGCCTACTCTTCCACGTTGCCCAGACGTTTTGGAAGAGGTGGGAGTACTCACACTCTACCCCTACCACACGCCACTTTGCAATCGACTGTGGCGAACCCATTGATACTGATGGGTGGACAGCGGATGTTGGGTGTTGGGGTGAGAACTGCTACGCGGGCAGATGGAGTCAAACCGGCGTCATCTGGATCGCAAGTCCAGCGCGCTCATCATTACCCCATGGCAGCATAGAACGGATATACTGTACGGCTAGCAATTACAGCTGATGACATCTTACCTGACGCATGTTTGCCAAGGCATTGGGGAGGACTCCTTCTGTTTGCTTGTAGACGTTGAAATAAAACGGATGATGAGAGAAATCACACTTTGAGGTGTAGCCAAATCAAATGTTTTAATGGGCTGCAGTAATAGAATTAAAGCAACTCTACATCAGTAGCTAAATCGGCTTCAGAGTGCGTGACCAGCAGTGCAAGTAGAATGGGGTTGACATCCGTCTGTGTTTGGTCCGGAGAGTCTGGGAATTGGCATTTGTATTCCGGTGACAATAATGTGTTTGCCTCGAGATATGGTTGTTTTGTTGCATTGAACTTCATCGCAGTACTCTACGCAGCTGATAGACCCACGTAGCGATATATGTCCGAGTTTGGTCTGTGACAAACGTAGCAACCCGAATGCGGAACATGTCTTCGGCTATAACAAAAGTTTATACTGAAGACTTTATAAGAAAAAAAACTATGTTCAGTGCCTTCACGTAGAAATAAACCATATTTGTTAGTCGATCGGCCCACTGAGTTTGCAGACCAACGTTATGAAGCAGCATTTTCTTTAATCCCGAAAACTGGATTGGCTTCAACATTCTCAGCCTCATCAGCAGGCAGGCTTGTTAAACAATTTCTGCAATATTTGCCAGATGTTGTTGGCAAGAGCACTCCAACACAATAACAAACCAATCCGGCACACAAACTCGTTGTGCATTGCCGTGGAACATTATGGGTAAAGAGTAATGTGGGTTCCCGTGAAAATGAACCACGTCTTACGGTGCTGATCTTCATTCCTGGCCTCAACCCCATCGTGTAAATTCCACATTTCTCTGGCAGGACTCAACGTGTCCAGTCCCTTGGACTATCATTACGTGGATGTGTGCGTGTGTAATACGTACGTTGAACTTCTTTCACACCGTACGTTGCCAACCGTGCTAATCGGAGATGCTGGATCACAGGCATTGGTAAAATCAAATCTAAACATGCCACGGTTGGCAGTGATGAGAGAGTGTAAGAGCGCCCATTGAAGGCTGTGACGAGCCTCTTGGTCACCCCTTTTCCGGCTCTCTGCACCTTTTCTCCAATTAGGGAGATAACGTGGAGCAGGACTGAGTGGGTCCGTGGCATACGCCCAAGTGTTGATCATTATCATTACGGTGTCATCATGGATTGGTTGTAAAACGCTTTCTCCCAGGCAGCCATCAGCTTTACAAATGACCTCTGACCCTCCCCGTGCAACGTAATTCAAGCTTCTCTCGCTCTCTCTGTCTCAGGGCGCGTGCACTTTTGTTTAACAATGCGGCTATGTATTTGGCGAAGCGCGGTCAGCATTCTGAATATTAACGTCGTTATATTTGGAAAACTGGCGGCTTCTTTTTTTTGTATCCCGACGGAAGCCTCGGCGCATCCACGCGCCTGCACGGCATCGCTACAGGGACAGTGCCACCTAGTGCACCACAAATCGCCGGACGCACGTTTTGAAAAACGATGTTCTCCACCGCTTACTCGGGGCATGTAACCAACTCCAACCAGAAGTTGCAAATGGGTTTTGATTCCTTACCCGTACCCGTACCCGGCCGCACCAGGGTCGCAAATGGGTACCCGTACCCATACCCGGCCGGGTACGGGTAGCCGGGTATCGGGTAGGGTACGGATATCGGGTACCCGGTTGCGACCTCTGACTCCAACCCAGTCGAAACACGCGAACGTTGATATTGTTTGGGTCTTTCGGTAAAGTCACGTGATACATGTCCACGTGATAAACCACCGAGCTATCATTTGTGGCCGGGTCGTTTTTGAAGAATTATCTATATAGCTCAGTGGGCCTCACCTGGTAAAATAAAATGAAAAAAATAGTTTAGTTAATGTTTCACTGCGGGTGCGTAATACAGTTGCCATAATCAAGCTACGTTCCACCTGATTGACAGTGGGCATTGAAGATCCCCTGACGCCATTCGCAAAGAGCAGGCCGCTACGTGCCGGGCAGTCAGGGAACAACATTTTGCCAAATTCCAAAATTAATCGTCCAACTGTGTGAGCCTGAATCTCGAAAGTTTATTGCATTGTCAAGGCGGGAGGGGTGGAGGTGGGGATGGGGGAGGTTGAATTATGATGCCCCCGGGTGCGTACCGTCAATTGAAATAGTTAGAGCAATGCAAATGTCAACTTTACTATTTCAGGCTTCATAATTAAAATAAATCATCCTCAGAAGGCCGTGTGGCCATTTGGGATATGTAAAAAAAATGATGTTGTTTTATGTGGAGAGACAGATTAAGGAAGAAGTTGCATTCTCTGATTATTTACTTTATTAAAATGAAAAAAAATCCTTCCCTCTAAACGTTCCTCAAGGCAATCCCGCAGAGTGGTGACCAATATCATCTGTAATGTTTTTTTTGTTAGATCGCGTAAATATAAATGTGTTGTTAAACCCGTCACCACCCGACACACGCCCGTTGATTACCATGTGACTAACACAACCGGCAATGGCCACCCATTGTAATTTAGATGCATTCGTTACCCCCCCCCCCCTCCTTCACAAGTGACGTCATCACATCTGCGCCTCTATTTAAGGAACGAAACAGGAGGACTTCTCCACAAATCTGGCTCTCGCCTGATGAAGTTAGTTGTAATTACAGTACTGGCGAAACGTCGTACTCAGATTGTAAATGGTGTGGCTTGGCTCTCCAACACACCGGTGTGCTGTACTAGTATACTACACTATACACTACACTATACACTGCACTATACACTACACACTAGTGCTGTACTAGTGACGAATTGGCCACGTTCTGTTTACGTGACAAACCTTACTCGTTGGCTGTGCCAGATGGTGGCGGGTTTAACATGACACATTCATATTTACGCGACCAAATCCAAGCAAACCTGTATTAAGATTCAAGGTCCTTCATCCGCGAACAATTTGACTGACATCACTGCAGCACCAAATGTGAAAACTCATACCAGCGAAACACAGAACTAATTCACAGCCACTTTCAATGGCAAGTTTTGAACAAATGAACACTTGGCCTATAAAGATGAAACTTCAAATTACCCAATCTCATCGAGATAATGAATATCATGAGGTGCTAGCCTGGTTCTACAATGGGCAGTAAATTAAAAAAATGTATATTAAGCCCCTGTGAATGGAACCCTATAAAACTAAAAAAATAATGGTACGTTCTAGAAATTGCATGATCATAACGTTAACACAGTTTAAAGTTAGTTTACAGGCGCTCGCGATCCACTGCTGGATGAAGGCCTCCCCACGTCGTCGTGTTGGCTATCGGGCCTGTTTGATCACCGTTCACTCCTCGCTCGGTGTGCGTTGTTGAAGTGGGCCCCAGGACCAGTTCATTGTGCGCCACTGATGGTAGCCGTGGGTCAGGGATAAGTATAACCAGTAAAAACTAAGTTTTTCACTATAAATCCTTTATATGCGTGGCGGCTAGAGTCCTCTCGTCCTCTGGCTTGAGATGGCTGCCACCTATGGGTCAAATGATTGTCTGCCAGTATTAAGCAATTGGTAATTAAATATTAAATTTGTTTTCCCTACACAGTGTAAAATTTTGGAAAATGTTTTTCACGAACATTAATTGTCTCGCACAACGAGTCTGTGTGCAAAATGTCAGCTCGATTGGATCACGGGAAGTGGGTTAAAAAACGACCGAAAGATTTGCACGGTCGTAAGCAAGCAAGCAAGCGAACTTAATATAAAGGATTTAAAAACTCGGCAAAGTGGAGGTCATAACTCAAGTCAGTTAACCACTGTTCCTCTGCTCCCGCCCGCCCCCACTTTCACTTGTCTATAAAAAATATACACAAACTAAATTTGTCATGAACGCAAACACGCGTCACACTTACACAATGCCAGTTGCTACCTTAACAAAGTGTTTATATCAACTTACGTCACGGTGCAATGTAAAGGGTGGTCCGGATGCCTCATGATCCCCAATTTTTTGACCCCTGAAATTTATTTCCTTTGCTTATTCATTTCTTTGTTAACACCCATTGGTATACAAAAACAAAATACGCTATAGAGAATGAAATGGGGGTCATAAGACATTTGGACCACCCTGTACAATAACAAAATAGGGGATATTCTGTCAATCATCACTATCGCACGCATTTTCAAATCTACATTTTCATGATCATTATGCGCGAGGGGTCCAGTCCTTGTGATGACTCGTTGAACTCACCCGCTCGATTCACAGCATCGCACAGCACTACAGCAACATACCATTCAAAATAAACAAACAAAAATAATAACATTGCAATCAATTACAGGTCGTTCCCACCCTCACCTATGGCCATGAGCTTTGGGTAATGACCGAAAGGATGAGATCGTGGGTAGCAGAGTGCCGAAATGAGGTTTCTGCCCGCAGGGTTGACGCGATCGCTCTCCGTGACCGGGAGAGCTTCAGAGTCGAGCCGTTGCTCCTCCGGATCGAGAGGAGCCAGTTGAGGTGGTTCGGGCACCCGGTAAGGATGCCCCCCGGTAGCCTCCCCCTGGAACTCTACCTGGTAGCAGCAGCAGCAGCTCGTCCTACTGGGCCAAGACCCCGGGGCTGGCCCAGGACACGCTGCTGGTGTGTAGTGTATAGTGTAGTGTATAGTGTAGTAGTCTATAGTGTAGTAGTGTATAGTGTATAGAAGTGTAGAAGTGTACAGTAGTGTATAGTGTAGTCGTGTAGTGTTTAGTAGTGTGTAGTGTATAGTAGTGTATAGTGTAGTAGTGTATAGTAGTGTAGTGGATACTAGTGTATAATGTATAGTAGTGGATAGTGCCGTAGTGTATAGTAGTGCAGTGTATAGTAATGTATAGTAGTGTATAGTGTATTAGTATATAGTGTAGTATTGTATAGTGTAGTAGTGTCGTGTATAGTGTAGTAGTGTACAGTAGTGTGTAGTGTATAGCAGTGTATAGTGTAGTAGTTTATAGTGTATAGTAGTGTAGTAGTGTATAGTGTAGTAGTGTATAGTGTATAGTAGTGTATAGTGTAGTAGTGTATAGTGTAGTAGTATATAGTGTAGTAGTGTATAGTGTATAGTAGTGTATAGTGTAGTAGTGCTGGAGTCTGTCGCCAGGGAGAGGGAGGTGTGGACCGCCACTACTCAACACGCTGCCGCCGTGACCCTCACCAGGACAAGCAGCCTGAAACACGAACGAATGAACAATCACCCCGGTGCCATTGTCAGACTGCACATGTGGAGGACACACACTGAACAATTGATGTGTTGCTTTGTGTTTCTGTAATCATCAGTATTGGCGCTCGGCACCAAGCAATGCAAGCCAAAAGTTAGAGCCCTAGGTAGATCAAGGTGCGAGCTCCAGGTAGATCAAGGTGAGAGCTCCAGGTAGATCAAGTTTAGAACTCCAGGTAGATCAAGGTGAGAGCTCCAGGTAGATCAAGTTTAGAACCCCAGGTAGATCAAGTTTAGAACCCCAGGTAGATCAAGGTGAGTGCTCCAGGTAGATCAAGGTTAGAGCTCCAGGTAGATTAAGGTGAGTGCTCCAGGTAGATCAAGGTGAGAGCTCCAGGTAGATCAAGTTTAGAACCCCAGGTAGATCAAGTTTAGAACCCTAGGTAGATCAAGGTGCGAGCTCCAGGTAGATCAAGGTGAGTGCTCCAGGTAGATCAAGGTTAGAACCCCAGGTAGATCAAGGTGATAGCTCCAGGTAGATCAAGGTGAGTGCTCCAGGTAGATCAAGTTTGGAACCCCAGGTAGATTAAGGTTAGAACCCCAGGTAGATCAAGGTGATAGCTCCAGGTAGATTAAGGTGAGTGCTCCAGGTAGATCAAGGTTAGAACCCCAGGTAGATCAAGGTTAGAACCCCAGGTAGATCAAGGTGATAGCTCCAGGTAGATTAAGATGAGTGCTCCAGGTAGATCAAGTTTAGAACCCCAGGTAGATCAAGGTGAGTGCCCCAGGTAGATCAAGATTATAGCTCCAGGTAGATCAAGGTGAGAGCTCCAGGTAGATCAAGTTTAGAACCACAGGTAGATCAAGGTGAGAGCTCCAGGGAGATCAAGTTTAGAACCCCAGGTAGATCAAGGTTAGAGCCCAGGTAGCTTGAGGTTACAGCCCAGGTAGATCAAGGTGAGAGCTCCAGGTAGATCAAGTTTAGAACCCCAGGTAGATCAAGGTGAGAGCTCCAGGGAGATCAAGTTTAGAACCACAGGTAGATCAAGGTTAGAACCACCTATCACTATATTTTGCCACTGGTAAAGGAGGTCTCATAGTGTAAATACGTACGTACACATCAACGAGCAGCAGTTAAGGGCCGTGTGGGCTGGGCCTTGCCAAGTGACGCGTGCCCCTTGCTCCTGCCCGTTTCACTCGCGGAGCGAATGCCCGAGGCAGGAGAGACGAGAGCGGCCTTGGAGCCCGCATTGCGTGCGGCCAGAGATCGCAGCCGCTGCAGAACGACTCCCTGAGCCTCGATCTGCTGCCTCAGGCTCGCCACCTCCACGGCGTGCAGCTCTGCAGAGTGGGAAAGAAAAACGCGCACGCTCCGTGTGAGCGTGGGGGCAATGCGGCAACGATTTTGCATAGCCGTCAACCCCTGGTCAGTGCCCTGACTTATTACAGAACAATTCTTTGGTTCTTTCGGTAAAGTCACGTAGTAGGCTATTATTAAATTTATTATTTTATCTTTATACGTGACTTTACCGAAAGAACCAAAGAATGATTCCTGCAGTCACGAAAGCTCCGAAATTGAGATTATTACGGAACAATTCAGATCTTACTGCAAGTGTTGTAGTTATTGCAAACATGATCCCCTGTATAAAGGTGTCAGTTTTGGTGCCAGATAAAAGGGTAAAAAGTATTACTCTATGCAGGTGCATTCCTTAAAGAAAACAAAGGCGAAACGTAAAAGGTAAATTTGGAGAGAGCGTGATAACATAGTTTGATGATATACAAAGCGAGGCACACTTCGGAATTAAATGTTTCTCTGCCGTGTAAATGTTTCCTGGCCGGTAATAGCAATGATCCGCGCCGTGCAGCAGAATATACACGAGCGTCTGGCACTCGATTTCCACGACCGCTGCGCTTCAAACCGAGACCCACCGACACCATCTGGTCGAGTGAAAGACGTTCAGATGCCATGCCTCGGTACCTCGTGGGCAACGTCTCCTTTCGAGTTTGCCAATTGATCTTCGTCGCGTTGCAAATTGAAGTCGTTAAACGCTGCAAAGCATTTTTCGATTTAAAGGTTTCGTGACTGCAGGGATTCATCTTCTTGGTTCTTTCGGTAAAGTCACGTAGAAGGGGAATAATAAAATAATAATAAAATATTATAAAATGCAATTCGCACGACGTTTCGGCCACAACGCAAGGTGAAGAACTTCGAATGATGTCTTTCCGACAGCTCTGTTCTTCACCTGAGGAGGGCTGCTTGCGTTGTGGCCGAAACGTCGTGAAAATTTTATTATGTTTTATTTTTATTATTTTATTATTTCCCTTCTCCGTGACTTCACCAAATAACCAAGAAGACGCTTCACACCACCCTCCTCTCTTTGGTTATTTCGGTAAAGTCACGTAGAAAGAAAAATAAATGCAACAATAGCAGACGACGTTTCGATCGCAACACAAGCAATCATCATCAGGTACGAATGAAAGAGAAAACAAACCTAGTAAATTTCGATTCAAAGCTTTCGTGACTGCAGGGATTCATCTTCTTGGTTCTTTCGGTAAAGTCACGTAGAAAGGAAATGATAAAATTTAAAATAATAAAATTTAAAATTTCCCTTCTACGTGACTTTACCGAAAGAACCAAGAATATGAAACCTAGTAAACTTAGAAATGTAATGCAATACAACACAGAGAGTCTGCTAACACAACAGTCAACACCTCACCTGGTTGATTACGTTCTTCCAAAGATTGCTAAATTTGAGAGAGAGACACAAAACACAGACACGGAGACACACAGACATACACACGAGCAGAGAGAGATAACACAGAGAAACGTCGTATGCTCATATGTATTTGTTATTTCTACCCCTCCTCGCTTGTATTCTTTGGCCAACTAACGCGGTTGCTTCAGCAAAACCACAAAAGGCCCCCGACACACGAAAAAGACAGAAATCCCACGCCACTAAATAATGAAGACTGATGCGAGAGTAAATGCGTATTTTATGTTTGTTGACCCAGGTTCATATGCAGGAACTTAATAAAAGAAACGAGTATTTTTGCTAAAACAGGCACCGCGTAACATTGAGAGCTCTGGTCGATTCATTTGCATCGCCACTCTCTCTCTGCATGACAAGGCACTCACTCGCATGCACAAATACACAAAAAGTATAGCCTTAGCATACTGTTGGGGCAAGTGGTATTAGCACGGCACACGATGAGGTGGGTGGCCAGCATCACGCCCGACCGCTTTTGTCTCCCCAGCGACGATGTTTACACATTGCACCAGGTACTCATTTAAGGCTGAGTAGACCTAGGGAAGACCCAAGACCTGTTCAGATAATTGCCACTGGTGTTGGCCGTGAGCGAGAATCGAATTCAGGTCGTCGGGTTTGTAGCGCAGCGCGCTAACCACTACACTACCGCTCCCCACAGGTACACACGCACATGTCCACGCTATGTATTTATGTTGATTCGACTTGGAGCCCTCTACATCACACAGGGCTCATCATCGTTATCAGCCTTAACCAACCCTCTCTCTGCTGCATGAAGGTTTCCTAAGCTTGCCCCATATCTCACAATCATGCGATACAGTAATCCACCTCCCTCGGGAACATGCAAATGAGTCGAATTCATTGCTCAATCTCCCTGGCGGATGTCCCCTTGGATGTTCCGTCATCCAGCTGTTCCTCGTTCCGTCTCTGCGTGTAAATCTCAAGCGTGCATCTCTCAGGCGTGCGTATCTCGAAAATTATATGCAATAAATGTTTTAGCTTTTCCCCGTACAATACAGGGAGCTCTAGAGAGCACCGCTAGACTGCTGGAGGGTATTTGGCCTTCTTGGAGGAGATACAACAACAATCGCCATTCGCCACTAAGTGGCGGTGACGTCACCACGACGCTTGTGCCAGGCCATGTGCACCTTGAGGCCACGTGAAGTGTCGAACGCCCGCTGGCAGGAGGTCACGGGGTAGACCCAGGTGCCACGGGTCGACTGACCTGAGATGACCGAGATGACTGGCTGATGCACAATCCCACCACAAGCGATCTGCGAACTGCGATGCGTCCATTTACATTGCTGGGGTGGACAGAGGCGAGGCTGCGATTTGAGAAACTGGCACCGTTGTCGTCTCAGCTGCTGGTTCATGAGATGAGACCGAGCCAGGTCACCCGGCTCTTGGTCTCGTGGCTTCCTGCCCAGCGGGCGTTCGACACATTCACGTGGCCCTAAAGTGCACATAGCCTGGCACAAACGCCGTGGTGACGCCACCGCCACTTGTTGATGCTGTCTTTACCGACTGAACCAAAAAGTATGCATGCCTCCGACTTTAACATCATCCCATCACGCAGTATAACGCACGCCTATCTATCGTGTGGCTCCTCTTGAATTCGCGTTTTCTCGTCGAGGAGCCTTGAGCGACACCTGCAGCATGTGCGTGGGTGTTGGTGGTGGGGTCCGTCCCCTGTCACCTGTCAAGTAGAAGGTGGCGGCTGACAGAGCCGCTGTGGCCAGCACCAGGCACGACAGCAGCACCAGCAGTGCGCACAGCCTGCCGGTGCAGCGGCAGCGGCGGCGGCGGCAGGGGCCGAGGCAGCCGCGCATCGGGGCCTCCTCCGCCGACGCCGAGGGCGGCGATGGCACGGGCGAGGTCGGAGGGGTCAAGGGGGCTTCGACCCCCGCGGTCCAAGGAGCCGACGTCAGGATGACGCTGGCGGGGCGCGAGCCGTCTGCGGTGGTTGGCGCACGCACGACGAGGGGTGGCACGGCAACAACCGCGTCGGTGTTGTTACGCGGCACATGGAACGTATCGTGGTACCGTACAACATTGGAGGGGGGGGGGGGGCAGTGCCGGATTATCCTAGGAGCAAAAGTAGCTACGTATGTAGCAGTAGCTGCTACATATGTGGTTGCTACGGGCCCCGCACTTTCAAGGGCCCCGCGTTAAATGCTTTCAAGCTATCAATTCCGGTTCAATGATTCTGCACTTGCTCTATTACTATAGTACTATACCGCCTTTAACTTTTACGAACGACCGGATGTTTAAGGTTAGCGATTTGTCGTATTATCTGGCTGTATATCAAATGAAAATAATACAATTACTTTACTATGCAAGTAAAAAATTCCTGTTTTAATATTTACGTTTTATATATATTTAGGGCCCCGCACTAGCTTCATCCGGCACTGGGGATGGGTTGAGTGTTGAGTGTCAAACGAACACGCAGGATGGAAGCGGCACCGGTCATCAAAGAGACTGCGCGAGCACTGACCACGAAGATAAGAGGGAATTCGAGGGACGAGGAAAGGCCGAGAGACGAGATGGATCAAAGGCGTCAGTGACAGAGGCATTGAAGGAAAAGAGTGACAATCGTGGAGCAGAGATCATTGGCGAGCCATTGAGAAGAATACACGGACCTGGCCACGCTGTATAGGGATGATGAATGCCGTTGCGAAAAAAAAAAACAATAGGCATCAATGTTGCAATCGTCACATTTTGAGAACGGGTATTACACACGTGTGCGTTTTACGTTTTAATTTAAAGCGGAATTTGCACGCACAAGCAGAGGAAGGGAACAGGAACTGGAGGACAGTGTAACAGGGAAGCAGAAGGAACAACCAAACACGAGGTGCACATCAAAGTCAACAGTGAATAAAAATAAAACAATCGAACACATGGGTGTATAATGGTTGGCAGGCGACACACACACGAATCGCATAATTTACCAATACAGCCACACTGCGCATGTGCCGCCCTTTGTCGTGTATGTTAGGAAGCCACTGGAGCTATGCATTTTTAGTTTAACACGTAGCAGGCTTTCGCGACCAATATTATTCATAATAAAGTTTTTGGGTTAGATCGCGTTATTTATAAATGTGTCGTAACCCTCCACCACTCAACACGGTCAATCAGTAAAAAAGTGTCACGTTGACAAAAGACAAATAGTTCACTACTTTAGCCTACTTTAGCCCACCGGTGTGTTGAAAAGTGAAACCACAACATTTACAATTTTTGAGTACGACGTTGTCGCTGGTAATTGCATCCAGCATCATCGGGCAATTCGACAGAATTCTGGCGTGCATTGCCCGATGATGCTGGATGCAATTAACAGCGAAAACGTCGTACTCAAAAATTTTAAATGTTGTGGTTTGACTCTTTAACACACCAGTGGGCTAAAGCAGTGAACCATTTGTCTTTTGTCAACGTGACACTTTTTTACTGATTGGCCGTGTCGGGTGGTGGAGGGTTACGACACATTTATAAATAACGCGATCTAACCCAAAAACTTTATGATGCACTTTTAAATCTAGATTGAAAACTAATTTCTTTAGAACTGCGTTTTGTGTTTAGTTTGTTGTCCTGCCCCTGCACATCCGATTAGCACGGTTGGCTACGAACGCTGCGAAAAAAAGTTCAACATACATATGCCTGAATAAAAGTCTCCCGCAGCCACGTGAGTTGATGATTTAACTTAAAATCGGGTTTCCGTATCCAGTACGACGATCTATATTTGTGTTTGGGTCAGGCCACGTGGTAGTTTTAGGACAAAATGCTTGCCAGTTACCCTCCACGCCACCTGGACAGGATTGTCACGTACGCAACACTCTTCAGTCAGCTGACGCAGCCTGTTCAACGTCCCGAGTTCACTATCTGAAGAAGCTCGAAGCAGTTTTGAGTGGAACGTCGCCGCACGCCCGTGTTTAATTCTGTCGTGAAGAGTCTCGGGCTACCGGCGAGGAGGACAAGATGTATATCGGTCGGGAAGGGATGTGATCGATATCCAGGGACTCCTCTATTTCCGAACGAGTTAGGTTCCAGACAGCTGTTCATAAGTCGATGTGTTCGTAAGTCCAATATATTATCCTGTAGATGCTACTGGTTCTTCATGTGCTGCAGTTGTAGATGCCACTACCGCCAACAATTACACGGCGGTTAACCTTAAAACGCTTGGTCAGCACAGGCAGCTGAACATACGGACTGGTTTGTTCGTATCTCTGAAAGTTCGCAAGTTGAATGTTCGTAAGTAGAGGGGTCACGGGAAAGAAATTGCTTTGTAAACCGTGACCATCTTTGTCGGGTGGTGGAGGGACTTACGACAATAATTTTGACAAAAACCTACTATGACGTGGCCAAATCCCAAAACAAGTAAGGATCAATGGTTTGTTTGACCATACTTCACCACGCTGGTGAGTGCACGCCGATGCATGGCGCACCCCAAGGGCTGTACGGATATCGCTCACGACTGATGGCACAGCCGGGAATTTAACTCATATTGCAGGGTTCATAGAAAAACTCTGAACCACTGGAGCACTGCACCACTCCCACCGATCTACCAATGCGATTGAAGAAAAATCTGACAAATCTCAAAAATGCATTTGTATTTTTATCATATACTGATGCGATTTTAACGTGAGACAAAATATCCATTAAACGCCTTCAAACACGTGAAACTGCTTGTCGTTGGATGTTATTGCTTAAAGGTGTTTAAGTGCCACTTTGTTGGCTTATTCACATACTCCAACGGCAAGGCTCGTAACCAACTCTTCCTGGCAAAATACTTTTAAGACTCAATGGGCTCTCACCCAGTTAAAACAATACAATTTACGTACGGTCTAGACATTAAGAGAATATCGGTCTACGTTTGCATAAGCCATAATGCTAAAAAAAAATACATTTCTATGCAAACATTCAGCAATTCGATGCGTTTCGGTTGCGGTGGGGCCGAGTTCCTTACTTGCCGAGGACTTGAAAATATCCACGATGGAAGCAGCATTTTGAAGGTCTTCGTAGTAATCGATTGGAAAAATATCTTCCGACCCAGCGCCCTTATTGCTAAGGGTTGGCTTCTTCACATGGGTGAACATTTTTCCTTGCAAGGGTTCAACACAAGAACACATTACGCAGCACTTGCGGACAACACTTTTGGGCAGCAGCTGGACTCGAAACAAGCGATGTTTTGGCAACAAAAATAATGCGAAAAACGTGCAACCCCGAATTATTATTGGGATAAAGTGACATTGTGCATCGAGTACTGAAAACATTGCCATGTCGTGCAAACTGGTACACGTTAATGCTGAGCTGTAATTCTATCACACAACGACACCGAGAGGTTATGCTTCCCAAGTACAACACAGCGAACACGTTTCCACAAAGAGCAAGTGACGGCGTACTTGATCGCTATTATGGAATGATTTAGACATTCACCATGCAGACGAGGCTCAACACCAACTTACCAACTGCAAGCCCAGAGATTTACAAGACCCCCCAGCCGCTTAAACGTTTGTTTCCAGTCGATTCCGATCAAACCCGAGGACGCACGTTTAGATAACGCCGATGAAGCATACGAATGCACGCCGAATACAGCCTCTGCCAACCCTTTGCCGCTATCTGCAGGACATAACCCCCAATGCTTCGAGCCCAATGACTATAATGGTATGCGTGGCCGGCAACACAGCTCCCAACTATGCCAGAAATAACCCACTGTACCCTGGGAATGCACTCTCTACACATCAGCCACATCAGTGTTGCCGATAATAACCCAAGATCTATTGTTTACGCCTCGGCATGGCTTAACCAACACAACGATAAACACAAGTGTGGTGGAACAGCGTGATGTCCCGCTGTCGTGGACGCTTATCACGAGCGCAAATCTCCACATTTTAACACTTATGTAACGATATGCAGTGCCGGATTATCCTAGTAGCAAAAGTAGACACGTATGCTACGGGCCCCGCACTTTCAAGGGACCCGCACTAAATGCGTTCAAGCTATGAATTCCGGTTCAGTGATTCTGCACTTGCTCTATTACTATAGTACTATACCGCCTTCAACTTTTATGAACGACTGGGTGTTTAAGGTTAGCGATGTGTCGTATTATCTGGCTGTATAGCAAAAGAAAAAAATACAATTACTTTACTATGCAAGTAAAAAATGTGTGTTTTAATATTTACGTTTTTTTAATATTTCGGGCTGTATAGCGAATATAAAAATGCAATTACTTTAATATGCAACGAAAAAATTCACGTGTTTAAGTACTTTTTTTTTCGGGGCCCCTTTATAACATATGCTACAGGCCCCGCACTAGCTTAATCCGGCACTGACGATATGCAATGCGAAACGGCAAACCACACAAAATCATTTGTTTGCGTTATCAATATTTATTGTTATAATGGTACACGTTTGCTTCAGTAAATACTATGGTTACACAGCCCCAGCATACTATTCCAGCAAATGTAAAAAAGGACGAGTTTTATTATTTTAATAAGTTAGGCAACTGACACATGTAACTTAACATACAGATAAATAGCAATGTTTAGAACCTCATTTGGCAGTAAAAAAATATGATAATTGGTTTGTTACCCTTCTATCTGGCAACAAAACTGACACCTTTTTTTACGAGGAGTCATGTTTGCATAGACCACAATACCTGCAGTCATAATGCGAACAAAAAACATAACTCTGATAATATATGCACTGTCCTTGAAGTTGCTACCCCGAGCTCTCATACTCTGATGGTGCATTATCTTTGAGTTGTGCGCCTTTTGGCGTCATCTGGTCCAACCCATGTGAGACTAGGCTCTAAGGAAAGCTGTCTCGGGTGTGGACCAATCAACTTCAAGGACAGTACATACATTATCAGAGTTATGTTTTTCGTTTGCATTATGACTGCAGGTATTGTGGTCTATGCAAAAATGACTCCTTGTAAAAAAGGTGTCGCTTTTGTTGCCAGATAGAAGGGTAAAAAACCAATTATCATATTTTTTTACTGGCAAATGAGGTTCTAATGGAGCAATGTTTAGCTTGTGCAACATGTAATCGATGTGCAAGTTCTTTCGTGTTTATTTTTCTCAGCTTGTTTCGCATTACGCAGCATTTCTCCCGTAAAAACCCATCAGGATTATGTTTATTTTCAGTATTATTTATACATGTTACGATGCAATAGCCGTTGGTCAACATATCGCGTGTTATGTTTGATATTCAATACAACATGTCTGTGGAAAATTTCCAACCATCAGTCGGTCAACAGATCCCCTGTTGGATTCCATGTACGTAACAATATAAAAGCATGTCTTTCAGCATTCATTCATGCAGGGCAGTCTGATCTTATGCAGCAGCTATGCCAACATGATCCTTTCCCCATGGGGAAACTGCATCAGGCATAAAAATAAGTGTGGTAGACTTTTTTTATTGAAAATATGAGACAGCTGTTAAAATTAATGTCTGTTAAATCCATCTGCAGATGCTGCAGCCTCAAAACATTTAACTTTCCATTATGCCCAATATCACAGGCAAAATTACACATGTGTGTGTGTGTATATGTATCCCATAGTTCTGGGTTAGTCGTTCCACCAGCAGTCAACGCGTTTGTCGCGAAGGAAGGCTCTTGATTTAGTCCGCGCCTTGAACGTTGCCGTGTTGAAGTTGTTCTAAAAATTACGGGACAAAATTACATGCATTAAAACCGGTCTATTTGAATGCAAATCTATTGCGAAGTTCCGCCCAAAGTGTTGACTTATTGGTTTCAAAATACATTATGGGCATGCTTGGGTGAACTATATGAAATGTTATGCACAAACTACTTCAGCATCAGAAATATTTGCCTCGTGGTCGTTTACGCTTCCGATATTTTTGATTGATTTTTGTTTTGATCCACATTGTTCACGATCATTGTTAGACAAACTTCAAATTCCACGCACGTACATTGAACTTCTTTCGCACCGTACGTAGCCAACGGTGCTAATCGGAGTTGCAGGGGGGGGGGCCCAACAAAACTAAACACAAAAAGCAGTTAAAAAGAAATTCATTTTCAAACTAGACTTAAAAGTGCATAGCTCCAGTGGCTTCCCAATATCGAAAAAGAAGAGCATTCCATACGGCCGCAGAAGCGCAATAAATGCCAAATATACGTGAGAAGGCCTTACCCGCTCAAATTTACTCAATTTGCTAGCTTGGACAGAAGCTGCGTTGATCAATATCGGTGGTCCCAGCTCAAAGATGTCTCTGAGTAGAACATTTCCCTGGAACATAAAATTACATTTTTAACCAGTGCACAGCAATTCATAGTGGAATACGAACCGTTTCACAACCGCGTTGCATGCATCGCAATTGACGGACCATGTTTAAGGAAACGTATGTTTAAAACACATTTGTCAAAAGGTGTGGGGGGGGGCAGGCAGAGAAATGGCATAGCAATAGGATCTTCTCTTGGATTTCAAAGCCATGTGAATCACAAGCGATGCAATTTGGGATGTCTGTCAAAAATAATAAGGAAACCCAGACGGGAGGTCAGGAACCCAATTCAATGCTAATAATTGAAAGAAATTCAATTCTACTACGCTTGCATCAATCGTTTGAAATGAAGAAATGCTATCTGCGAAAAAAATCAACAATTTTTAGACATGGGCACATGGTCATCTGTGTGAGATCATCTTGATTAAAAATAACCTCGCATCCACATTGTTGTAAATTTACTGTCAGGCTGTAGAGATATAAATGTATGCTTCTATCACAGCGGAAGTAAAATTATACACAGTAACCAAAGGGTACTGGACATCTGTTGTTCATACTATCGTCACAACATTGCATTGCACTCTCCCCTTGAATAATCGCATACAGTATCCATGCAGGAATAACCTATTACATGTAGTTAATATTGGAACTGTATGTAACGTGGGTTAGTCAGGACAAAGCAAAAAAGCACTTTGAATGACACGTTCATTCAATACCTATAATCCATCACCCCTCCATTAAGAACACCAACCGATATTCTTAGATTTTTCGGTAAAGTCACATAGGTAAAAAATAGTAAAAATATAATTTAATTAATAGAAATTAAATAATAAATCACGACGTTTCGGAGGCAATAAATCTAGCTGTGACGGTCTGTCAGTAAATTTTGCTGTGACGGTCCCACCTGATGACGGAGACTTGTGTTGCCTCCGAAACGTCGTGATTTATTATTTTATTTCTATTATTATTTCAATAATATTTTTATTCATGTTCCACCTACGTGACTTTACCGAAAAACCTAAGAGTATGAATCCTTGCAGTCATGAAAGCTTCAAATCTAGAATTAACACCAACCGAGACGTGTGTTGCGTAAATAAATGAAACGAATTCAAGATGCATCAAAAGGGGAAGTAGTCACCGAGAATGAATTGCCAACAGCTGAAATGACCATTTGCCATTTCGATTTAAAGCTTTCGTGACTGCAGGGATTCATCTTCTTGGTTCTTTCGGCAAAGTCACGTAGAAGGGAAATAATAAAATAATAAAAATTAAACATAATTTAATAATTCTCACGACGTTTAGGCCACAACGCAAGCAAGCAGCCGTCCTCAGGTGAAGAATGAAACACCACCAAGCTTGGAGCGTATATTTAAGCTGGGTTGAAGGGGGGAAGAAGAGCGCCTTGACAAAATAATTTGCATATCAAGAGGAATTTAGCATATTTATGGGAAATGCGTAGAAAATTCCTCTTGATATGCAAATTATTTTGTCATGGCGCTCTTCTTCCCCCCTCCAACCCAGCTTAAATATACGCTCCAGGCTTGGTGGTGTTTCATTCTTCACCTGAGGACGGCTGCTTGCGTTGTGGCCGAAACGTCGTGAGAATTATTTTATTATGTTTTATTTTCATTATTTTATTACTTTCCTTCTACGTGGACTTTACCGAAAGAACCAAGAAGACCATTTGCCATTCAACAATTCACCTAAAGCCAGCCACTTGAGGAAACGTCATCAACGGGGTTCGCGATTCGATCCAAGAATCAATTTGTTTAGAGTCTCGTTTTTTCTAGATTTGAAGCTTTCGTGACTTCAAGGATTCATACTCTTATAACTTCAACCGAGAAGATGGATTCAAATTGAGCAATCATTGGAAAGATGTGATTAACCATGTTAATGACATGTTAATGACATGTTAAACCTCAACCGCCACTCTCCCCCGCTCTGCGTTCCCCCCTCCACCATCCGTGACGCCGTCCCTTAGTACCATCTCCACCTTCCTGGCTCCACCCACACCCCAAACCCCCCCCCCCATCCTGCACCTCGTCCTCCCTCCACCATCCGTGACGCCGTCCTTTCGTACCACCACCTCCACCTTCCTGGCTCCTCCCCCCCCCCCATCCTGCACCCGTCCTCCTTGGTTCCTCCCCCTCCTCTTACCCTATATAATAATGTCTCATCACAAATAACTCTCGCTACAGTTATTTTGCTGTGCCTTTTTTACACCTCATGAAGGAAGCTTGTGTTGCCTCCGAAACGTCGTGATTTAATTGATTTATTTTCATGTATTTTTTTTTTATTAATCTCGTTTTTGTTTAGCGGCTCGTTTGTAGCGCTCCTCACTTCTTTTGCAGTCTCGCGTGCACACTTTTGTTTGCTTCATTCGCCTAAAGATTCCGTGACGTGCAACTCGATGCGCGTATTGCGAGCGCAGTTTTGACGAATGAGCCCATGGCGCTGTTAAATTCTTATTGGCCACACACTTGC